TGTGTGTGTGTGTGTGTGTGTGTATAATCTGTTTATTATCTCTTTTCCTCCTATTAGATGGTCCCTGGAACATAGTAAACATTGAATGAATGCCTTTTTCTATACCACAGCCCCATTCCTGTTTTTAAAGTATGAAGACCTTTTAGTTAAATATTTGCATTGCATACTGTTTCGAGTAGGCTTGGTTCATAATCAGAGATGGATACAGACTTGCAAATTAAGAGAGAGTGTGGAGAGCCAGGGTCAGGAATCCTGTTCCCAGATCCCAGGCATACTGATTCTGTGACCATGGACATATCTGTCTAGAGCCTTGATTTTTCTTATTGGTAAACTGGGGGCTGCTGCATCTATAAGGGCTTGATAGCATCACGGTATGCATGTTTCTTGGCATTATGGTGGGCTGAGGCCATTGGAGTCTCCGTCCAAGGGCTCATTAATAATGGAAGGAAAGCTCTCCTGATTTAATGCAGTGGTGCCAACTCTATAGACTGGTAACTGCTGGATTGTCTCCATCCATTCATGTTTAAGCCATTCTAGTGCCAAACCCTTGACTAAAAAATCATCGTCCTCCTTAATAGCTTCCCTTAATTGCCATATTTGGTAAATGGTCTCTTGGAGACACCCTGATCTGACTGTTTTAGTTGAGTTCAAAAAGCTTCCTGATTCTGAAACTGATTCTCTTTGACTTCCTAGTACGGCTAAGTTTTTGCTGTTTTGGGGTGTGTGGGGGGGTTATTAATATTGCACTTGTGGGGAACAGTGGATAGAATGAACATTGGCTTAGAAACTCTTTTTTGTTTCCCAGAATTACTTTTGTCAATAATTAGCTGTTTGTCCTTGGGCAGATTACTTAATCATTATGAGTCTCTCATTTCTTCATCTCTAAAATGAGATTAATTCCTGCCCTTTCTGCTTTACAGAATTATTGTGGGGTGGAAAATGAGATGATAAAAAATAGAATGCAGTGTGTAAGCAAAAGGCACTCACATCACTAGTCTTGTGGTGACCTCGCCACCAGGCCATGGGGATGAGATGAGGGGCACTGATGTGCTGAGAGCCTGGGCCTTAACATTACTTGGACTTTGCTCTCCAGAAGACTTGAGGACAGAAAGGTGCTCTGCTCCGAGTTTGACAAGCTTCCATTCAGAAGGGAGTGGCTGAGTGATTATTTCTTTTGAATCCATTGGTCCAGACGTGCTGTTAGCATGTTTCTCACTTTGTTTAGCTCTGATAGTGCCTTTCCCCCACCTCCTGCTTTCATTCTTTAGTCTTGGCATTACTCATCCTGTCACCTTCCACACCTCTGTTTCTTGGTGGGTGGGTGCCAAGAGTCTTTATCTGAGAAAGGGTTTCTGTGATTTTAACTGTGGTTGTAATAGAAACCAGTCCAGATCAGGATTATGTTCCAGGTACACAAAAGATTGGATTCCTTTCAGAGTTACCTCTTTCCTGGAAACATTTTCGCTCTGTGTCAAGAGGAACATTATTTTTCCTCATGCTGGTGACTTGGGGGGGGGTTATCAGTGCAATGGACTCTGGGACTTCCTCTCCTCCCCATAGACCAGGCCCGTGGGTCCTCTGATGCTCCTGGGTGGGGCACTGGGAGTGCACTTGAACTCTGGGCCCTGACACTGCAGACATTCTTAGATGTGGAGAAGCCATGGGTCTCACCCGCTAAGGTACAGAAGCTAATCTGTAAATGTCTTCTTCAGGTCTGTCTTTCATAGTATCCAGTGGATGGCTCCCCCCACCCCCCAATTCTAGTGACCAAAGCTTAGGCTTGGCAGCTATGGTGGGTTCCTGGGTTAGCAGAAACCCACCTTGATGTGTTGGAAGAGTAACTGCTCCATGTGTGAAGTGCCTTTTACAACCTGTTCTGTAGTGGCCACCTTGACCCTGCGGGGGGCGGGGGCACGCTCCTTGGCCACCCCACAGGGGATGATGTTCTTTCCCACCAGACACAGATGACCTTCCTTTGAATCCTGACAGCTGCACTGAGGCTGACCCAGACTTGCTAAACTTTTTCTTTTGTGCTTCTTGGTCCTGATTGCCTTTTGAATCTCTTTTAGAGCTCTGAGCTCTTCACCCTCACCTACGGGGCTCTGGTCACACAGCTGTGCAAGGACTATGAAAATGATGAAGATGTGAATAAACAGCTGGACAAAATGTAAGTAAGCTCCTCTGCAGGAGAGACAAGAATGGGCTCCCTAGTGCACAATCTACATGGTCCTTTAGAGCCCAGCACCGGGTTCTCTCTTGTAACCAACATTTTGGGCATAGTTTCCACTGGGCTCATTTATTGGGATGTTTTAGGATTGTCCCCCATTTTCCCTTTACCACTAGCAGCCTTATGTTCAGACATAAGACATTCATACCCCATGATATAGTCTGTTCTCTCATTTTCTTCCCAGGGGCTATAACATTGGAGTCCGACTGATTGAAGATTTCTTGGCACGGTCAAATGTTGGGAGGTGCCACGACTTTCGGGAAACCGCAGATGTCATTGCCAAGGTCATTATCCTGGGCCACCTGGCTATGCTGAAGGATGTCACTGGGAGGCACTGCTTACCACTCTCTCTCTCCCTTAGAGAGGCTCTTAGTATTCCAAAAGTCTAGTTAGGCAGCTGTCTGGGCCAAAGAAGCCTTCCTGATGGTTTGGGAATAGCACAGATCATGAAAAGGGAAGAGTGGTTGGGATCATCCGTGTGGATGAAAGCCCCACTGAAATGAAAGCCAGATCTCCTCGACTGTGAAGATATAGCAGAGTAGCATGGGGGTTATGAATATGGGCTTTGGACTCAGACAAACCTGGCTTCAAATTCTGACTCCAGTACTTACTAGTTAAGGGTAAGTTAATTTTAACCTTTTTAATTACCACTTACCTCACCTTTAAAAGAAGAAAATAAGAGCTACCTCAAAGGGTGGTTGTAAGGAGTAGATGAAGTAGTGAACATGAGCATTCAGGTAAAGTGAATGCACTTAACATAGTGTGCTTGTGGTAAATGGTCGCTCTTAATAGTATTAGCATTACGTTTTATAGAATTAATAATAAATGGTAATACGCCTCTAGCTTTGTGGCATCTGTAACCTAAAGGTTGGTTCTTTCTGTTGTAGAGCATGCTCGCCCAGATCCTAGAGAGGGCTGAAGTGAAGAGAGCTTTGTGAAGGTTTGGAAGTAGAGTGGATAGAGGGAAGGATGTCTTCAGAGTAATTTGGCCGCAGTGACCAAATTTGCTTTCAAGAAGAAGGGGTCAAGGTAGCGCAGACAGAGGACAGGGCAGTGGGCTGTGGCCTCTCATGTGCTGGCTCCGGGAAGCCACCCCTGCCAGACGTGTAGGTGGACAGCAAGTTGCCTAATTGTATGAGGCCTTGAAGGAGAGGGGTGTGGAATTGTGCCTAGATGTTTTTCCGTTTTTGCCCTGAATACCTAAAGCCCCAGTGTTTTGTGGAGGCCACAGTTTTGTTCCTGAGCCACTTAACTTTCCTTCACCAGTCCCATCATCTTCCCTGGTGCGCGGCCCCCACTGCTCTTCCCCATGGTGCTGTTGTGTGTCTCCTGACAGGTGGCGTTCAAGATGTACTTGGGCATCACTCCAAGCGTCACCAATTGGAGCCCAGCTGGTGACGAATTCTCCCTCATTTTGGAAAATAACCCCTTGGTGGACTTTGTGGAACTTCCTGATAACCACTCATCCCTTATTTATTCCAATCTCTTGTGTGGGGTGTTGCGGGGAGCCTTGGAGATGGTGAGTGCAGCTCTTTACCTTCTGGGACACCTGAGCTGTAGTAGGGGCTTGATAAAGTTTTGAATGAATGAGAGAGAGAGAGAGAGAAAAGAAAGGCCTTTGCCTCACCTCAGCACTCTGCTGCCTGAGATGTGATGCTACCGAGCATAGGATCCAAAGATGACTCTCCCTGAGAGTGGTGCTGTCAGCCCCCAAAGCCCAGGAACACCCATTCCCGGATTGGCTCATTTGATGACAGTCTCATTTGTGGGTGGGTGTTCTTTGCTAAGTCTGTCCTTATGGGTCGCGGCCACTGCTTCCTGCAAAGGAGCATTGGAACTGGTCATCCCGTCCTTGTGGGAAACTAGCCCTCTCGTTTGGACTGCTGTGGATGAGTCAGTTACAGCCCCATCCCCTGTGGTTCCCCAGAGGCTGTGGCTAGGCAGCTGCCCCTTCATTTTCCCACTGTCCCCCAGGTCCAGATGGCTGTGGAGGCCAAGTTTGTCCAGGACACCCTGAAAGGAGACGGTGTGACAGAAATCCGGATGAGGTTCATCAGGCGGATTGAGGACAATCTCCCAGCTGGAGAGGAGTGACCATCCCCCAGGACTGCAGGGTAGCTAGCAGGAGCACTTGTTGGAATCTGAAGCCTCAGAGCTCCCTCTGCCCTTTAGAACTCAATGACTCTTTAACACGGTTGTTACATATTCTTCTAACTCTGTTTCCATTCTCCATGCTAATAAAGAGCAGACTGTGATACAGTCCACTTACCCCACAGGTGTGCCCATGCAGGAGGGAAACTCTTTGCTCCTTTTCCCTTCAAAGGGGTTGTTGGATGCAGTCGTCTTTGGTTGGACTAGAAAGACCTCAACCATTTTACATTCCTGTTTGAATTTTCCAAAGCAGAACCCTTTTTGACCCTGTTAAGAGGCAAGCCTCACACATCTCTTCCTGGGCCTTTGGAATGCCATTGGTGAATGGCTGTAGAGAATCCAGGGTTGTGGGGCAGGGGAGGGGAGGCTCGAAGGGGTGGATAGGAATTGCTGGTTGTAGTGTGACACACTCTAGCGCTTGTCCAGAAGGGGGACTTGTGCCGGGAGCACTGACTTCTGGGAAGCCACCCAGGTCTCGTTCCTCCCTGCTGTTTGGAGGCGACATCACCTCTTTTTACAGAGGGTCCATCCTTTTTTCTTACAGATTCTTCAATAAAGACACATTCTTGAGTGAAATCCTAATCATGTCCTGTTTTCTTTCTGGAATTTTATGGCAGTGGAGTGAGGAGACCAACTAAGCCCTGCCTCACACTTACCTGGTCTAGGAATGGCTCCTCCCCACAGACCAGAGAGTCTGGGAAACCTGGGTGCAAATACCCCTTCAAAGTCATTTTTGGGTCTATTGTCTAGCAAAGTCTAGAAGCAGACCATTATCCCTGATACACCTAACATGGACTATCTCGAGCTCTTGGCCACTGAGTAGGAAGGCATGGCTAGAAAGATCTTGTTAAGAATGGGGAGGGGCGTGCCTGGCTGGCTCAGTCAGTAGAGTGTGCGACTCAATCTTAGGGGCATGAGTTGGAGCCCCACGTGTGGTGTAGAGTTTACTTAGAGAAAGAATAATGGGAATGAAAGCCTGATTGGAAAAGGTTTGCGAGAATAAAAGAGGATTAAGGGTACCGAAATTTTCTTTTGAAGAGTTTTGCTGTAAAGAAGAGCTACGGGGCGCCTGGGTGGTTCAGTCAGTTAAGGCTCTGGCTCTTGATTTCGGCTCAAGTCCTAATCTTGGGGTTGTGAGATCTGGCCTGGGGTGTTGGGCTCCGAACTTGGCAGGGAGTCTGCTTAGGATTCTCTCCCTCCCTCTGCCTCTCCTCCTGCTTGCATGCTCAGACGCACATGCATACTCTCTCTATCTCTAAATAAATCTTTAGGGGGAAAAAAAGCCAAGAAGTAGGGTAGTGTCTAGAGGGGGATATGAAGTCAAAGCAAAGTTAAACCTCTGATGTTGGGTACAATTTATTGAGTGCTTACCACTTGTCAGACATTGTACTAGCACTTTACATTACCTAATCCACAATAACTCCCTTATTTATAATAATTCCATTTTTAGAGGGGAGACTGTAAATTGCCCAAGGTCATACAGCCATTAGGTGGAGAATCTAGTGCACAAAGCCCATGTTCTTAGCCATGATGACTGGTTAGCCCTGTCGGGGAGGAAGGGCAGTCCTGCAGCCCCCTCTCCCAGCCTTACAGAATTTAGGATAGCTTTTTGGGTGCCTGGGTGGTTCAGTCGATTGAGCATTGGATTCCTTTTTTTTTTTTTTTAAGATTTTATTTACTTGACAGAGACAGCGAGAGAGGGAACACAAGCAGGGGGAGTGGGAAAGGGAGAAGCAGGCTTCCTGCCGAGCAGGGAGCCCGATGTGGGACTTGATCCTAGGACCCTGGGACCATGACCTGAGCTGAAGGCAGACACTTAACGACTGAGCCACCCAGGGGCCCTGAGCATTGGACTCTTGATTTTGGCTCAGGTCGTGATCTCAGGGTCGTGAGATCGAGCCCTGTGTTGGACTCTGTGCTCAGTGTAGGGTCTGCTCGTCCCTTTCCCTCTACTCTTTTCCCCATTTTCACTCTCTCTCCTCTCTAAAATAAATAAATAAAATCTTTAAAAAAAAAAAGAACTTATGATAGCTTTTCAAGGGAGGGATCAGAGGTTGTCAGGCCATGTTGGTAGCACTGTTCTTGGAGACAGCCTAGGCTCTTGAGGTCCAGATACTCAGGTTATTGGGGGGGGATGGGGCCCCCAGGCTTTTCCCAAGGTTAGGGCACAGGCCTGAGATGAGGAGAGCCATTATAGGTGCACTGCGCAGGAAGTGTGTCTTGGTTGCATAGATTAGGACCAGCGTTCTGGGACACCTGAATAGAGGCAGTTTACACGTGATTTGCCTCTTCCAGCTGGGTCAGGCCACTAAAGGGGGGGAGGTGGAGGTCACTTTTGTGTTCCCAAATATAGGGAAGCTCCCACTGGGATCCTGTCCTCTGAGCCTTTTTACCTCCCACTCCAGGTACAATTTGGGGCCCCAGGGCAGGTCAACTGTATCCTTAGCACCCAGTATAGGGCTGGGTCCAATCACACCAGAGAAATGACTGAATGAAGGAAATTAAGGGAACGGATGCTGGGGCCCAGATGTGGAAACACTGTGTGGTATCTGGGGTCTGCCAAGAAAGGGGAGGAGCACCACCCTTTCCTTCTCTGGGGGGGCTCTCACCCTTCCTCCTCTAGTACCACACCTACTTTCCAGCAGCCGTTTGCATGGTATGAGGTTTTAGATATTTCCTTTCCCAGAGTTAAACACAGGCAGCGTTACAGAGTCGGCAAGCTGTGGAAACAAAGCCCCCTTAGTGATTTTTCCCAGTGACAGCCCCACAATTGTGTGATGTGCACCCAGAGACTGAGGGAAGGGAGGGGCTGAGGACTGTGGAGCTGCTTAGAGCATCACCTCATCATCTCTCCCAAATGCGCCGAACATACAAGTCCCAGCAACCTAACTTCAGCCCCCCCTCCCCCCGCCCGGGAATGAATTCATTGTGGATTATGTAGCCCTCTACTTTTATGGTGACTCTGAGGCTCAGACAGCCCCCTCCAGGCTAGGCCATTCCACATTCTCCATGAGGTACTGGCACACCCTCCAAGCAAGATGGGGCAGGTTTGCTGGCTTTATAGGAGGGGCTGAATAATGAGGTCAGCAGCCTGGTTGAGGTGGCATTCTGGGGCTGGAGGAGTCCGGGCTGGTGGCCTTTGGGCCTGGCACAGGCCGGGCAGAGCCCCAAGGAAAGGCCTTGCTCTGCAGCCTTTGGCCACCAGGGGTCTCCAGATCACCACTCTGCTGTCCCAGAGTCACGGTTGGACCCCTGGTTTCCATGATTTGCTAGGAGATGCACCTGATGAACAACTCCCAGAGGCCGGTCAGAACCCGGAAGCACCCCCTTCTTCTAGCCACTCCCATAGGATCTGACAGTAAAGCTTGCGTGCTGTTAGGCTGAGGGCCTGCCTACTGAACCCAGGGCATGGGGAAGAGCACTTTGGCAAAGAAGTGTGCTGCCCCTGTGCCTACCCCAGCCTCCCGTGCTGGCCTCTGTTGTACAAGCTAGCGCTGAGCCCTCCCCTCGTCAACCCCCTTACTTCCTGAGTGGCGACCAGAGCACCAGCACTGTTCCCCTGCCTTACACCCCCACCAATAACATTCCCCTGGCGGATTGGCCTCCCCTATATTTGTACTGGGCATCCAGAGAAGGAGGTGGCAACAGAAATTGCATTAAGTAAAATTAAAATAGTCTCCTAACAAGTAGTTCATTGTGGACGGTTGGGGGTGGTGGTGCAGGAAAAGTATCCTCCCGTTCTCTCGTTCTCTCGGAGCTTAAGTGCTACCATGTGCTGTTCCCTGGAAGCCAAAGGGCCGGTGGGGGGGGCGTGGCAGGCGAGGAGCCTCACTGTTACCGATCCCCAGCCTTTGATGTAGCGCCAGGCCTGACCCTAGGACAGCCGAGGGCCACTGCCAGGGGAGCTGTGGGACGCAGCGCATTCCTGGGGGCAATCTACGCTTCTGGCAGGAGGAGAGGAAAGTTTCAACTGTGGGGAAGGGGGTGGAGAGAGGGCGCTGCAGATGAAGTTAGAGGGTGGGTGTTGTGAAGGACTATGGAAGGAACCAAGGCATAGGGCAATACCATCTTACTTCGTCTGGCTCACTTAACTGGCTTGGGCGGAGGCCTCCTCCAGGAAGCCTTCTCTGATGGACCCAGAGCTGCTGAGGAGCAACACCTTCACTCTGCACGACACGCATGGGCCAGTCCAGTTAGAGACCCAGAGGATGCCCGGAGAAGCCGCTGCTCTTCCCTCCTGGCTCTGGGGGCCTGGACTGTCAGCTATGGAGACATCTAGGACTGAGCCAGGCTGAGGAGGCTGGGAGGATGATGTGGTGGCATGAGAGTGTGAGTGAGTGAGTGTGGATAACAAATGTTGTTCATAGCAACAGCTAGTATTTACTGAAGAGTGACTAGGTGCCAGTCAGGGCTGGTCTAAGTGCTTCACGTGTATTTTTCCTTTCGCCTTCACAACGACCCTATCCCTGTGCCCATTCTGAAGATGGGAAGACTGAGGTACACAGCTAGGGCATAGTAGATTCAGGACACAAACCCGAATAGTCCAGTATCAGACACCAAGCTCTACGGTATGTGTTACATGTGTAAATGTTTGGGTTTTAGTGTGCGTCTGTTTCCTTGTGTTCCTTGGGGAGCGTGTCTGTATGTAAACTCTTTCATTTAACAAAAATGGAGCCCTGTGCTGGGGGCTGGGGACTGGGGACAAGTGGACAAGGAGATGGTGGCAGGGAGGAGAGACGAGGTTGAAAACGAGAGACAAAGGCAAGTCCTGGCCCCACTACTTCCTGGTTACAAAACACTGAGCAAAGGATTTGAACTCCAAGCATCAGTTTTTCATCTGGTTCAAAATGGGGATTATAATAATGCCCACATTACAGACTGTTTTGAGGATGAAACAAGATGCAGTGTGTAAATTTCCTGGCATATTCTGCATGTTCCCTAATTGGCAGTTATGATTAACATGATTGTTGTTACAGAACTGTCTTGTAAAACTACTGTGTGTGTATATCTGAGGGGCTGAGTGTGTGCAGAGAGTAATTTTGTGAACTCAGGGCTGTGTCTGGGGTGTTCATCACTGTTATCCCCAAGCATCCAGCACTACTTTTCAGCACAACGTAGGTGCTCAGAAAATGTTTATTGATGGCGTGTTGACTGAGTGTGAGGAAGAAGCCAGGAGGGCCCACAGAGAGAGGGGTGTGTGGGCCTCCACCGGGACCCGCTATACCATTTATGGGGCTCAGTGCAAAATGAAAATATAGAGCCCCTTGTTCAAAATTATGAATTTCAAGATGACCAGCAGAGCAGTAAACCAAGCTTATCTGAACAGGGAGCTCTGTGTGACTGCACAGGCAGGCATGCCCACGAAGCCAGGCCTGGCCTCCATTTGCCTGAGTCCCCAGCTGTCCCCAAGCCCAGATGTCCTGGAGAGAGTAGAAGCAGACCCCAACCATGGTCTGCCATGCTTCCCAGCCTGCCTGAGAGGAGGTGAGGAAGGGAGGGCAGGCCAGGAGAAAGCAGAGGGAGGGCCCAGAGACCTGCAGACCTCCTCCCCAGGGAACCTTTCCAGAACCAGGCCA